GTAAGAATATTATTAAAATGTATAAATAAATTTAACACTGCATTTATAATTTTGTCTTTTATTAATTACATTTATTGTTTATTATATTCATTATGTTTGTATTGTTATAGTCAAGTTTTTCTTTTCTTCTATCAGTGTATTGTTTTCTTTCCTATCTAATCACTTCTTATGACATTTTTGTGATGAAAAACATTTTGTTTTATTGTCCCATCTATCTACAGAGTAATTCGTAATCATATGCGATTACATATCATATGCAATTCGTATGTACCAATTGCTATTTATTACTAGTATATCTCATGACATTTTTTACAATCCATTTAAGCACTTAATTATTCATTCCCGCAGATCTCATCAATTTTAATTCCCATTATTGAGGAGATAGTAAATCATCTCTTGCATAATGGGGATTAAAATTGATGAGATCGGGAATGTAACAGTTTAAAATATACCATTTATGTCGTCAACATTCATTAAGATTTATTAACCAATACAAATAATTATGTTATCTATACTTATAATAAATCTGTAGAGAGGTCAATTCTGTACATGAAATATATTTCCAAAATAACTATCAGGGGGTGATTAGTGATCGACGCTGATGCCAAAAATGCAATCTGTAAAATTTTTGTCTGTCTGTCTGTATGTTCGTTATAAAAACAAAAACTACCCGACGGATTTTAACGAAACTTGGTACAATTCTTCTTCATACTCCTTGGCAGGTTATAGTTTACTTTTCGTCACGCTACGATGTATAAGAGCAGAGCAGTGACGACAGAAACGCGGACGAAGTCGCAGGCAACTGCTAGTATCAAAAATAACATAAATTTAAAGAGACATTAAATGAAAATCAATAGACAGTATAGTAATGTAAATATAGTAAATAACTTCTTCCAATGTGTTTGTTTGTTATTTCTTGGCGTCTCAACGACTCAACCAATCGACGATAAAATTTTATATAACGTAATATTTGGGATAGTGTAGGATATGAGGTATTTTTTTGTTAAAATAAATCAACATATACCTACTTGCAATTGTAACGTTGCTAAATAGTGGAGTAATACAAGTAACAGTTACATATCGCTCTAAAAAGAAAATTACAACATTGATTACAACAAAATTACTAACATTTACCAATAATATCACTTTCAGAAGAACAAGAATTCAAAGCGACTTAAACACACAAATGGATGAAGCGGTTTTTTCGTAAACACAATAGATTTAAAATACTTGCATTTATATACATTTTTTATTTTTGTGTAACTGGTACCCACATGGGTACCATGGAACATACTATGATGCTCATATTGTTCCTAATGCGTTCCCATACCTGAAGACTGAGATGTTATACCACTGTATAATGTTTCGGGATTGCCATATCAGATCGTGATCACTATTTTAATTTTATATTCCTTCTTTAAATTAATACCCGCCCACTGTATACTATTTTATTATAACACATTGTGTTTTATTTATCTTTCGAGTGCCCACTATACAGGTTCACCTAGTGTGGGGCCCATTGTATTTTGTGTTTGTAACTATGTGTTTTTTAGCAAGTAATAAATTCTATTCTATTCTTGTATTCTGTAATTTCATTGGTATATTCCATCACTTCAAATTCGAACACAGCTATGCAAGTACAGTTATTTTTATTATTACGGAGGCTTACGAAAAGGCGGTCCGCCTAATGGGAAGCGACTATCATCACCCATGAATACTTGCAACACGAAGGCACTTGCCTTTTATCCGAACTATTCTAATGCTCTTGGTCGTAGATGGCCTTTACAGCTTTACTGGAGGTAACGAGGCCGAGTGCAGATGGCACTTCAGCGGAAAGACGATCCCTACCTGAAGGGACAGGGGAATCGTTTCGGAAATGTTGACTGTGTATTTCCAATCTTTTAAATGCTTGTAGGCGAATTTTTTTATTGATTAATTGCAAAACTAATGAAACAGGTGACTATTTTAAAAAGACTCCTTAAGAAAGTTTTCTGATAGGAGGTTAAGAAACATATCAAACCCAATTAAATAAATACAACATCAAAAAAATGGCTGTATGGTCCTGGCATAGAATTGGTCACCCCTTGGCCTGGAACTATACCATCAGGTAGAGGGATGGGCAGCAGCGTTCCTCTTAAAATATCTCTAAAAGCCTAACTGCCGTTGCCAACCCGCCTGCCAAGCGTGGCAACTATTGCCAAAACTCTCCTTAAGGCGAAAGAGTAGACAGTTAACGGTTGAAATGATGAAATAAATACAAAAATAAAATACAGCAACTCAGCTGTTGCTATCTTTAATTCATGGTTACTAAGTAACAACAGTACAAGACTGCTAAGTTATTGAATAAGAATTATGATCGATTACTAGCGGTTCTTCGGTTCCCACTACACATAGTAACTGTTTAAGATACGTTTACAATCGATTACTGGTTTGACCCAGTATTTTTTACTATGTAAAAGAGCAAATAAAAACTTGCCATACAATTTGACCTTGGTGGTGTAACGGTTTATCATATTGATTTACCTGCCGATTGGTCGCTTGTTCGATTCTCGCTCAATAAGAGTATACTCATTTTTATCTGTTTGTATGTATGAAGACGTTTTTCTATACACTCATAATAATAAATTGCAACTCAACAACTATTTTATTTATAAATCAACTTTAAATAGATTTACTTGTATGTAAATAATACTACATATCTATAATTTAGGTTAATTCATTAATTAAATACTGTAACTGAAAATATTTCAAGAGGTACACTGCATTTAACCAGTATTTTGTTTTTGTATTTTTGTTTTTTTACTTTTTTTAACACTGTGTTGATGTACATTTGTTTGCAAATAAATTGTCTATCTAACTACAACTCTTAAATGACAATATTGAGTTAATAATTATTTATGTAGGAGCCGCACTTAATTTGGGCTTGAATAATGAGAATGAAACATAGAGAAAGAAGAAAAGAGAGCTAAACAAACTTTAGGATTTCAATGTTTGTTACTAAATTTTATTTATTTATTTATACTTTATTGTACATAAAAAATTACAAACATATAATATATATTAAATAAAGATGTACAACAGGCGATTGATATATTTTGTAAGAGTTGTCTTTCAGCATAATCCTGAATGGTAAAGAGCATTAATTACCAACTGATTGAGTATAAAAACCTAACTACAAATAATAGAGGAGGAAACAATATAGTTGTTCCTATTAAGAAATAATAAATATGTTGACATATATACAAAGTAACTCATATAATTAAAGTCATAAATTCTCTTCATTGTACATGATAAAAACTTAAATAGAGTTAACTAAAGCAAATAATATATGTATGTAATATAGCAGTTTAACTGGCTGGCCTTCTGATTGTTTTGTTTTTGCAAAGTACAAACATTTGACTAAACTACTAGGGATGTTTCAATTAGGCATTAGTCGCAAGAATAGCGATTAAATGTTTTACATTCATCATCATCATATCATCATATCATATCAGCCTTTAACTGTCCACTGCTGAACATAAGCTTTCCCCTAGGGGGGTTTTGCCAGTAGTTGCCACGCTTGGCAGGTGGATTGACAACCAGAGTTAGGCTATGGAGATGTTTTAAGAGAGACGCTGCTGCCCAACCTTTGCTCTCCCTTAGTCGCCTTTTACGACATCCACAGGAAAGGAAAGGGTGGCCTATTCTAAATTGTTGGTAATCAAAAAACAAAGACGTAAATCTTTATCAAACTTATGTATAGTATATTAATTTTAAAGATTTTTTTTATTATAACTTTATTACTATTTCATGAATCACTTTCAAAATTTATCTTAAATAATAAAAAGTTATTAGTTCAGAAAACAGAATCGGATGACGACTGAGTTATTTGCTTTCGTAAGTTTTATTTATTTGGACTTTATTGACCAATAAAATGTGGTACAAAAAGCGCACCTAATGCTATTAGCTTTCTCTACTATGCTTTAGGATGTGCAAAGATACTTAATAAGCGGTTTAAATAATTAAATAATAAAGTAAGTTGTTAGTAAAATTATTACAAACATTACAAACATTTGAGTTTGTGGATATGAATTGGAAATATATTCCATATTTAAATATTAAATAGAATAACCACCGGCACAAGGACGATTACGTATTGAATATACGAAACTATTTATCTATCTTGCACCGTCTGTTCTCGGGCATAGGCCTCCTCTACATCTTTCCGTGATTCTCTACCTTTTGCCGGCCTACACTCTACCACCCTTCTTGTCCAACGATTTTGGTTCATCTTTACAATATGATCTTGAATCCTTGAATAAACAAATTACAATTTTGTGACATTTTTTTTAATAACACCTTACTGAACTTATTTCAGAAAACATTTTATTATGTTTACCTAACGTTTAAGAAACTGTATAATATCCAAATATAGTTCCATCAAAATCTCATTATTTGCATGGTTTCCATATAATTCCATAAAATTAACGTGCGGTACTCTAAAAATTACCTGTGTAAATTCAAAAACTTTGTTTTTGTTATGTTAATTTGTATCTGTCGATTTTCTTTACTTTTATATAATAAAATAGTTGAAATTTGATGTTTCTTACAATAATTTGGACCTAATACCTTCTCGTATCTTAACTTCAATTGACTAATACAAAGTATTTAAGCTAGTATGATCTTATAAGGCGACCTTCACGTAGAGTTTAAAGACAAGTTTTTAGACAACAGACCCTTCTATCCGAGTTTAACCTTCAATGAACCGAACACGGAAGTATAAATTGATCGAATTATAATACTCATTGGTAAACTTAATGAATTATTAATCATTCTACTTGTTAACATGCTCGCTTTTCTTAATTGCTGTCTTGATTTGCTTACTTAATAATTCTTAACAGATAAAAATAGGCCCATAGATTTTTGCATTATCATGGACTATAACGTTATAGAAATAAAGACAATAATACCATAACAGGTGTTCTCAATAGTTAATAATTTTTCAAATAGTATAACCATACCTTAAGGTCGTACACAAAGTAAATCCCAGCGTCCTTTTTGCCTACGCATACACTAATAATTATGCTAGACTCATGAACACTTCCACAATAAACACGTGCATTTCACAATATCCTGGCACTTTCACTCGTTGAAAGCAGTTCTGTCTCGATTTGGCGCTTAGCACAAACCGTTAAAACTGCTCGTACCAACGCTCGCGTCACACTGGCTGCGCACACGCGAGAGCCTCCTTTCCCCCCACTTTACCCACTTAATGGTTACCGACTACTTCAATATCCACTTAAAGCTTTATTCTTTCTATTATAAAGTCAAGTTTTCCATAATTTTTATTCCCATAACTATAAAATAAAGTTTGTCCATCTCAAGAATGAATGTCGCTAGGTTTTGATTTAAATACACATTGTTTATGCGGAACCCAGATTTTACGCGATAGCTCATGATGCATTACTTGTGAAAGATACTTAGGTATTTGTGACAACCCGGTTTTCGATTATGTTTTACGATCTATGTTAATTAGAAAGTCAAGTTCGGTAGTAAAAGTAATACCGCCACCGACAACGTGATGTTGTTTGCGCAATGAATTTTTTACTCACCTTTAGAAAATATTTCTTTATTATTCCTTATTTCATCACTATTATTTCAATCATTAATTTATTCATTTAGTTTTAAGTACAAGTCACGGTATAGAATGAGCCACATCCTTACTTTCCCATGGGTGTCGTATGAGGCAACTAAGGAAACTTAATAGTCAAAGGATAGGCAGCAGCATCCATCTTAAAACATTACTAAAGCCTAACTGCGTTCGCCAACTCGCTGGCCATGTTTGACATGTATCGACAAAAAGCCCCCTTATGGAAGAGGCTTATATTCAGCAATGGACAGTTATAGCCTGATATGATAAAGATGATGACAGGTATGTATACAAGGTGGACTTAATGCTAAAAGCATTCTCTACTAATCAGCCTTAGGGAAGTGTTTTGGGAATTCATAATTCTTTTTAGGATAGAATAAAGCCATCGCATCCGTTGACAGTAATCCGTTAACAGGTACATTTAAGGTTGTCCTTTCATTGAGTTATACTCTTCTTTCATACACATTTATATACTTTGTTAAAAAATAAATAACCTTTAATATTATCTAATCTCAAACTATTTAAAGCTCATACAACTAGTATGTTGTTTGTCCGATAATTAATTGACAAAGACTGTCAAGCCGTTCTGTATTAAACAGCATCATCATAAATCTACGATATTTTGCTAAGGTCTTCAAAGACGAACTCGACTTCCTTCGAAAGTATCACCGCTTCTATTGCAGTCATAATATTGTGTTGCTAGAACATGATGGCCTCATCAAAACGGCCACACAGCAGTCTATTGTGGAATGCTCTCGCTCGGCTGTGAACAGAAGTAGATGGAGACATATTGCGAGGACTTCAATCGCGAAGGAGAACCTCATCGATGATGCACTGTCATTGTGAAAACCACGACCACTCTGTCAAGAGTGTACGACTGAAGAGAGAGAACATGACAGACAAATATTTGCCTATTTATCACGCTTACACTAAGAGAAGTTTACTAATACATTACAAAGAATTCATAATCCGCTGCAAAAAGCAAATAGCACTTGGAAGGCAATGAGTGAGGCCTATAACAATCAACGGATTGGAATGAGTTGATAATAGTAATTCGGACTCCATTCCAAGTGCTAATGTTGCTGATTAGGTTCGAGAGTTAAAAAAAATTAAGTTTCCCGTATTATCAAGCAAAATATAGAGATATTTTTCTATTTACAGATTTAAAAAAAATATTATCAGCCATCGCTAAATAAAAAAAAAATAACTGAGGGAGACTTTGTAATACTAGGGGCATCATGCTTTTTGTAATATCCATGCTACTATTCGTGTCCAGAGGCAACTGATACTGTTTTCCATCAGGTGGACCATCAGTTTATTTGTAATTCTAAGAATCATAAAAAAATTAAACTAAATTTACTTGTAAGCTTATAAACTGTATAAAATATATCTATATCTATAATTTTATCATATCAGCCTTGAACTGTCCACTGCTGAACATAAGCCTCCCCCTTTGACAGTAGTTAACATGCTTGGCAGGCGAATTAGCAACCGCAGTTAGGCTTTAGAGATGTTTTAAGAGGGACGCTGCTGCCTCGTTCTCCTTTAGTCGCCTCTTACGACATTCCAGGGTTTCCCCTGGAAGGGATAGTCTATTCTATGCCTATTAGACATATAATATATATAATAATAATATTTATTTATTCAGTCAGCATAAGGTCCAGTTTGTTAGTTATAATTTACTTAAACCTACCATTATTATCCATAATTAATTTCTTTATGTAATCTTCTCAAGACGTATTAGAAGAATAGGTAGCAGCTTATGATTTAATTAAAAAAATAATTAATTATTTATTCTTCATTGACCTCATTACAAAAAATGTTTGGTATAAAAGGCGGACCTAATGCTATATAGCAATATCTCCCACACAATCTTATTAATAATACAGTTTTTCGTTAACTTAAATACGTAATAAGTAATAACAAAATAAGTAATAACCAGAAATAAGTATTAAGTACTTTTAATTGATTTAAGGCCCGCAAAGCACAAGCAACTCCTCTCGCGTTGTAGGTGTTCACAGGAGATGGTAGCAGTTTTCCATCTGGTGGACTAGTCTGCTTGTTTGCCTCCTTAACAATAAAAAAAAATTACCACAGGTTTTGTAATATTATTCTTTACCGATCGAATAGTATCAATAATTCGCATTTTTTTTAATAAAAATAAACTTTTATTATATATTTTATGACATATATTTTAGGTGTATTTTTTATGTTAAGTTACAAACTAATTTAAAAGAAAATAAATTGCTAAACTCGACAATTTAAAATGTGCAAAAACTCCATGTAACACGAGGCAAATACATATACCGTCAAATATGCGGTTTGAAGTACTTTAGACCTTTTGGGATCATTAATTTTACCATGGGTGAGAGAATTTGCACCAAGGCTCTTGATAAAGCGAATTTGTATTGTCAGATAAGATCCTTTAAAGTCCTATTTTGAATATAGAGACGAAAATTACACGTAATAGTCTATTTGAACTATCGCACGTGTCTGCTCATTTCATTTTGTAGGCGCTACAGCTAGAGTCTGAATTAACATATAAAATGAATGCGTATAAATTTAATAAGCAAGTAATAAGTACGGAGTTTATTTCCGTAATTTAGTAAGTACAAAATTTACAAAGATATTTTGTATCTACTCCTATATAAACTTGTTTTGCGCGACTCTCCCAAAAAACATGTGTAATTTTTGTACTCTGTGATTTCAAGTGAAATAGATTATAATGTGTATCGAATATTTATCCATATTTCATGAACTGTTAATTTCATGGAAATCATATTTTTATTTTAATATTCAAGCAGTAATAGTAAATATTTATTCCAAGGAAACATCCACCAATAAAGGACAGAAAAAAAATCATTTTATTGTGTGTGTGTGTGTATATCTTTTCTTTTCGTTCGATTTTCGATCTATATCTGTTTGGAAAAACGTTCAGTATTTTTTAAAGCATGTTGAGTTTGACTCGGTACGATTTAGTTTTTACCCTGTACGCAGTAACATGGCACCGTGCCAAAAAGGTTTTACTTACTTCTTATTTCTTTTATCAAAATAAAACTGACATATTTTGTAAACAGATAGACTACATTAAAAAAAACCGTTTTGTACAAAATATAAACTTAATGCTATATAGCATTCTGTTCTAGCCAACCTTTGGTAAATCAGAAGTGTAATTATGTGTTGAAAAATTGAAAATTGTTGTAGATAACAGTTACAGATGTATCCATATTGACTTATAAATTACACAACACATAAAATGGAAAACTATACTTACATGAGTACATTAAACAATTATTACTTACATATACAAATATATATCTTAAAAATATACATACAAATATAAATATACACATACACATGATCATATACTATAATATCAGTAAAACGACGACAGAGATCAAAGGTGATAATGATGAAGTTAATGATGAATTGCTTTCATAGCTACTTCATAGGTAAAAGACTCGTAACGTCTGTACTGTCAATTAAATTAGTCGCAACTCTGTCTCTAACAATAATTATTATTATTTGGTACTACTAAAAAGCATTAGATCTTTGACTATAAATTAATAACTAGCTAACCCAAAACGTAGATTCCCCCCCCCCCCTATTACCATTTACCGTGTCTATTTTTAGAGATTCTATGTTTGACTAATCTCTATTATTTATTTATCCAGATGAAAACTTCTCAAGTTGCAACAAACAATTATTAAATGTATTAACAAAATTTTATTAAAATAGCATGCGTGGTTTCATCCTTCTCTTGCATATATTATTCAAGCGTCATTTGTCATGGATTGACATTAATATTATAAATGTGAATGTTTCCAACCATATGAATAGATAAATGTTTGTTACTCTTTCATGCAAAAACTGCTAAACTGTTTTGAACGAAATTTGGTCCACGAATAGGTTATATTCTAACTTGGCAAATAAGATATTTTATACACTTATTAACGCGGGTGAAGTCGCAGAATATAGCTAATTATATTATAAATGCGAAAGTATATAAGATATGGATGGATGTTTGTTATCCTTTCAAGGAAAAATTACTGAACTGTTTTGAACAAAATTTAGGACACGAGTAGGTTATATCCTAACTTGATATATAGGATGCTTTATATACACTAAATGATGCGAGTGAAACCGCACGATATAGCTAGTGGAAAATAGTTCTAACAATAAATTTGAAAATGTGAAGTGAATTCAACGTAATCGTTATCTGTGTATTGAACCAAACTGAATAATGTTAAACTTACAAATGAAAGAAATACATCTAAAACGAATCACAGCTAAAATATACAGAAGACAACAAATAAATGCGTAAAATGAATTTCAAAATAACTTTTCTGTAGAATTCAATTTTAAATCTTAATTTACAATTGTATTTTGTGGTACTTAAAACAATAAGTATTGTATTTTTGAAACGTCTTTCTTAATAAAAATAAAGTCATGAAAATATCATTTTACGTAGATGATTTTAAATCAATGAGATGCGAATGACAGCTTTAACGTTCTTTATAATCAAAAGCTGTTTTTGTTTACACCTTTTATTAAATAAAAAAGGATTCTCGTGAAATGTAT